GGGATATGACCACAAATTATTACTAGAAAGATTTAACTTTTTATCACTTAAGCAAAGTACAATTCTTGCCAGTCAATTGTTCATTTTCAAAATATGCAATAATTTAATTGATTCGGCTGAAATATTAAGTTGCCTCAATTTTTTGGTTCCTGCAGCAAACACCCGAACTCACCATAAATTTTATCTGGAAAACTGTCATACTAATCTTGCCAGAAATGCGCCTATATATAGAGCCTGCTCATGGCATAATCAATTAATACCCATTGTACTTGAGTTGGATCTTTTCAATGGTACTGTAAAGTCATTTAAAACTAAAATTATATCACAGATAAAAAATGCTCTCCTGAATTAAATTGCTCTAGTGATTGTTTTGATTGATTATTGAATCTTGCATTTTTGTGGAATATTGCTGATTAGCTTGGGGTTAACTTTTTGTCCTGGGGTTTTGCTGGGGGAAGCTGTTGATGCTGCTTAATATACTTAATTTACATCTGTTTTCTCTTGATTGTTAATTACAAACTATAGTTAGTTACTTCATGTATTTGTATATGAAGCATATGTCAAAACCTAGTTTTAAGTTTACAATAACATTTGTCTAGTCTTTAATTTGAGATTATTATAATTGTCTTGTTATTGGGTTTATCCTGTTAGACAATAAACAAATAAATAAACAAATAAATAAATAAATTTGTGTCACATGACAAGAAATAACAAAATTTAACTGGCTGTCAGAACTGTCAAAAAATTTTCAGTGAAACTTCATAAAATTCGATGAAATTTCCAACATTGTGACATGGACTACGTGACTTTGTGTATAAGGCTGTGGTCCGAATATAACCAGGGCTGTGGTTTCGCGGTCCGAAAGCCCAGAGTAATTTGATTATACTCTGGTTCCTGGAAAAGCGGTTACTTTTGGACCTCGGTTTCCTGAAATATGGTTAACCAAATGTCAAAATAGTTACCGGCTATCGAATGTCGGTTCTGTTGGTTCTATCTGTAATTTCTGTCAATTATTTTTTATTCCATATTCGCGTTCCCCAAGTAACCGGAGTTTTTAATAACCATTTGTCAACCAATTTGGTTACTTTGGTTAACGTTTGGTTATATTCGGACCATAGCCTTAGTATAGTGTTTATGAGGTGGTGGTAGGGTATAGGTGCAAAAATAAGTACAATGGTTGGATATTCTTCAGACATTTCATTCTGACTTAAGTTTCGAATGTAAATAAACAATATCTATTTTCCTAACAAGTGCAAGAAAAGAAATTTCCGGCACAAGTGTGCGAAGCGCCTGCATCGAAAATAGTCCGGAAAGAGCCATTTCCCGCACGCTCGTAGAAAAAACACATTCTACCTTTCTGTTATTTATTTTGTAGTCACTTGAGTGAAGTAGCTCCAAATATTGTTTTTTGGTTTAATAGTATTAACACAGAATGTATTAATCATACAACCAGCAATACCAGTGAGCAGCGTTGCTAGTTTCGGCGTTGCCATTATTGCCAATAAATCCTTATATTTCCTGGCAAAACATGTACAAACAGACTTTGCCTGTACATTTTTTTGAAAATTTCATCTTTATGAAATTTCCAGTGGAACATATGAAATTTTCTATAAAGTTTGAGAAATTTACAATTGAAAATTTCACCTGTAATTTCTGTAAAATTTCTCTTTTTTCGAATATTGAAAATTTCACATTTGAATATTTCAAACATGGAAATTTCATTTGAAAATTTCAAACGGCACAACCCTATATACAGGGTGTTCTATTTAAAATAGCGATGTTGCCACTGGTTTAGAGTAAAAGCGACAACATCGCATAAACAAAAATATTTTTAAAATGTAGATTATGGTCGTTTATCCCGGTTGCCAAATTTTCAAAAAGATCCGCTTTTTAGTTCTCCATAAATGTCTAATACGCCATCCACCGTGGGACACCCTGTATAGGTAACACTTTTACAGTGTTTTTTTATTTAAATAAATGTTAAAAGATAATTTTATTTGTTTATTGGGATTGAAAAAATGCATTGACTGCATTATGGTCTGGGTCCCTTGATTTTGCTAAATTTCCAAAAATTCAAAAAATTCTAGATTGTTACTATGTTATGGTACGCATTCAGTTTTTATGATACCTCCTTCATTTTTTCATTCTATTCAATTTTCCTCTCTTGAGTTTTTTCGATAGAATGTACCGTTTTTGACTTATTCACGATTTTTTCCGAAAAGTGCCGAAATTCAAGATGGCGGATTGTTTTTTCTACTGACGCAACAAACGGACGAATGGGGACTTTTGGTATGTTTACTAGGAGTACTAAGGCTACCTATTTTTGATAGTTGCAGCTTTATAAAAATTTTTGCAGATTCAAAATTATTTGCACTGGCCTAATTTGGATATTTTTCACTGAAAAAGTTTGAAATTTCAATATGATGAGCTCCAAACTTTCCTCTTTTTCTCCTGAAAATTCATAATTTTCTCTTCAGTAGTTTTCAAGAAAAAAAATAAAATGTAAGAGGGTGCATTTTTGGTTCATTTAGATTTTGCAAGTTGATTTTCATTAATTTCCCATTTTGTTATTTTTCATTGGAAAAGTTCGAAATTTCAAATAATTGACTCTTTACTTTCCTCTTTTTCTCCTAAAGTTTCAAAATTTCCCTTTTAGTAGTTTTCCAGAAAAAAATTAAATGTGAGAAGGTGCATTTTTACTTAATTTAGAAGATGTGGCAAGTTGATTTTCATTAATTTCTCATTTTGGTATTTCTCACTGGAAAAGTTTGAAATTTTAGTATGATGAGCTTCTAACTTTCCTCTTTTCTTTGTGAAATTTTCATAATTTTCCCTCTAGTAGTTTTCCAGAGAGACGAACATTCTGATTGGTTTAATATCGACACATGCACATCAACATAATATGTATTCCCGTGTATTCCCAACTGTATTTCTATGAATTCCCACTTTTCTCCCTGTATTCCTTAATATTCCTGAATAATATAAATATATTCCTATATTCTTATGTATTCCCAACTGGACATAAGTATACCCATTGTATTTCTATGTTATTTCCTCTAAAATGTCTAGAGATTCCTAAATGTGGTTGACCCCTCAATGTAAATCAACTTGCAAAATCTAAATTAAACCAAAATGTACCCTCATACATTTTAATTTTTTTGCTGAAAAACTACTGCAGGGAAAATTGTGAAACTTACAGGGGAAAAAGAGGAAAGTTAGGAGATCATCATACTTAAACTTCAAAGTTTTCCAGTGAAAAATAATCAAATGGGAAATAAATGGAAATCAACTTGCAGAATCTAAATTGAGCAAAAATGCACCCTTGAACATTTTAATTTTTTTCTGGAAAACTAACTGAAGGGAAAATTATGAAAGTTTCAGGAGAAAAAGAAGAAAGTCAGAAGCTTATCATACTAAAATTTCAAACATGTCCAGGAAAAATACCATGATGGGAAATCAATGAAAGTCAACTTGCAAAATCTAAATTAAGCAAAAATGCACCCTTAAACATTTTAATTTTTTTTCAAAACCATATAAGGGAAAATTGTAAAACTTTCAGGATGAAAAGAGGAAAGTTAGGAGCTCATCATACTAAAATTTCTAACTTTTCCTCCAAAAAAAAAACCAAATGGGAAATTAATGAAAATCAACTTGCAAAATCCAATTTAAGTAAAACTGCACCTTCATACATTTAAATTTTTTTCTGAAAAACTACTTGAGACAAAATTATGAAACTTCCAGGGAAAAAAGAGGAAAGTTATGAGTTCATTATATTAAAATTTCAAACTTTTACCAGTGAAAAATAACCAAATGGGATATTACTTTATGTAAATCAACTTGCAAAATCCAAATTAAGCAAAAATGCACCCTCATACATTTTCATTTTTTCTGGAAAACTAATGAAAAATTGTGAAACTTTCAGGGAAAAAAGAGCAAGGTTAGGGAGCGAGGCTCCAAGATTTTCTCTTTTTCTTCTGGAAGTTTTATAATTAAATTAAAAAAATTAAAATGTAAGAGGGTGCATTTTTACTTAATTTAGATTTTGCAAGTTGATTTTCATTAATTTCTCATTTGGATATTTTTCCTTGGAAAAGTTTGAAATTTCAGTATAATGAGCTCCTAAGTTTTCTCTTTTTCTTCTGAAAGTTTCATAATTTTGCTTTCAATATTTAGTTTTCCAGAAAAAGTAAGAGAGTGCATATTTGCTTACTTAATTTAGGTTTTGCAAGTTGATTTTCATTGGGTAATTTTCCATTTTGTTATTTTTTATTGGAAGAGTTTGAAATTTTAGTATGATGAGCTCCTAATTTTCCTCTTTTTCCCCTTAAAGTTTCACAATTTTTCTTCCAGTAGTTTTTCAGAAAAAAATTGAAATGTACAAGATTACATATGTTTGCTTAATTTAGAGTTCACAAGTTGATTTAATTTAATTTCCCATTCTGTTATTTTTCACTGGAAAAGTTTGAAGTTTTAGTATGATGAGCTCCTATCTTTCCTCTTTTTCTCTTGAAAGTTTCATCATTTTCCCTTCAGTAGTTTTCTAGAAGAAAATTAAAATGTAAGAGGGTGCATTTTTGCTTAATTTATATTTTGTAAGTTGACTTTCATTGATTTCCCATTTTGTTATTTTTCACTGGAGAAGTTTGAAATTCTAATGAGCTCCTAACTTTACTATTTTTCTCCTGAAAGTTCCATAGTTTTCCCTCTTAAAATTTTTTTAGAAAAATATAGACAAAACGTTAAAAACCAACTTATAAACGTTTTCAAAATCACTTTGAGGATTTGGAACTACAGGACTTTTACAAGACTTGTGCAGGACCTACAGGACTTGTACAGGACCTATATAAGACCTTGTTCCAGACCTTAAAAATAAGTCAATACTGTAGGACAATGTAAAAACCTGATGACCCTTTGTAAAATGGGCACATTTGATTTGGATATCAATATGAGGCAGACAAAAACTGTTTTATGTCGAGGAAATATTTAATTCTAACACGTACCTGCTCATTTCGTCTTCCATACGCCTAAAACGGTCCATAATTAATAATTAACAATTAAAAAACTGAATTTATTGTTGATATTGAAGTGGTAAATAAACACCCCAACGAAAAGTGAGGTTATGGTGACTTTATTATGACACATATAGCGATTTCTATTGGAAGGCTTAAGTGCGCATATTCATGTCTCTTTCTACCAGCTTGTATAAGAAAGAGATAAAAATAAGTTTTTTCTGCACTAGTTCTACCAATAGAAATCGCTATTAATTTTTATTTAATGACAAAAATGACATTTGAAGTCCATAGATTTTTATGAATGAAGACGTCATTGTATTTTTATTATTATTGTTTTTATTTGTATTTTTGTGTTCTAATTGTGAAAAGTCTGTGCGTTTGCTTTTGAAAATAAATGTCGCCCTGGTAAATATTAATTTTGCTTTTGTTAGGTTATAAATCTGTCCTTAGAAAGAAACGGATCAGTTGCCTATTTGCGAGATTATTTGCATCTTTTTTTATTTGCGTATAAAGGAGAAGGATGCAAATATTGTCTCTTTGAATTAGATGTTGCCAAATGTCTTTATATTGGGCTACTATTTGTTATTAAATATTTGTTTAAAAAGAGGTCAGTTTACTAGGCTTTATTATTTATTTGGTGATTTTTAAAGAAACTTGAAGGCCTATTTTTTTTAGTTCACAATTTACTTGATTTAAAACAAAAAACCTGAAATCTGGCAATGTCGCATTTGTGAGTTGTTTACGTTTTTATATTGTGCTTAATTTCCAAAGAAAATATGCAACAACAGCCCCATTTTGCCCGAAAAAGGGGCTCAGTAAGCTACCTACAAAAACTCACTGTACTAAAGCGTATGATAGCCGAATACACCCAAGAAAACGCAGCTCTAGTGGACGAAATCGTCGAAGTCCAATCCCTGATCCTTGTACGTAAAGAAGAACGCAAATATTTGCTCAGAAAACTGTGCGAGTTTGACGGAGCTGTTGCTCAGCAAGTGCAAAGGGCTGCTACACAAGCCTCGACTCCTTCAAGCACCAGTAACAGTCTCAAACCGAAAAAAAAGCCTTCTGAGACTGAAAGAAGGTCTTCAACTTCAAAATCTCCCAGAAGACCCAGCGTTAAAAGCAACAAAAAGAAATTCGTTCAGCCTGTTGAAGTTGACAGCATTGGAAGACCTATTTTTCCAATAGATTTAGGCCGTTTGACTATACACTCATTGGGCGAAGTTGTGGCTGACAGGCAAGAGTTCCACTCAGAAGAAGCAATTTTCCCTGTAGGCTACGTTTCCACAAGACTATATGGCAGCCTGAAAGATCCCACAATAAAGTGCATTTACACTTGTAAAATATCTGACGAAACTGGGGTGCCAACTTTTGCAATAGCTTGCGATGATGGTACTAAAGAAATAACAGGTGATACCCCAGATGTTTGTCACTCGTTGCTATTGCAAAAAATCAATGATGCTTTATCGTTAAATGTGGTCAGCACTAGGCCTAGAGGAAATGAGTTTTTCGGGCTCACTCATCCTACAGTTTTGCATCTATTGCAAAGCTACAGTGCGGCTAAAAAATGTGTCAACTACAAGTGGACAAGGTTTGAAGTTTCCAAAACAGCTGAGACTAGCAAGGACTATAATGATGCGGGGTTGAGCTTTGATTATTTGCAACGCAGCATTAATTTGTGCAAATATAAAATGGCCCCAGATGTGTTGCAGAAGCCTAGTGATTATGTTGAGAGAAATTGAATTTGTATTTGTAATTTATCAATAAACATTTATTATTAAGAAAAATGTATTTATTAAAATAAGTTTCAATTAATAAGTAATAAACTGTACAGTACATAAGTATACATAGTTTGAAAAAGTAAAGAAACTTGAAGAAAGATTTTGGCATTATTCCTTTTCCCTCGTAATTTCTGTACCAAAAAGAGTAGAGAAATTTGAAGATCCTGAAATAAAGAAATTCTTCCTCCTACTCAAGTATTTCCCATTTATTTTTGTTTTAATGTTTGTCCATTCCAGGGAATATTAATCCCTTAATTCCTTGAACTAAACAAATAAAGAAAGACTCTAATTTTGAAAAAAAAAATCAAAAACAGAAAGAGGATTTCTTTGTTTAAAAATTGACTTTTAAATCACATAATTCCCTTTTGTATTATTCACATTCACTCTTATCATAAGTAGAAGTGAAAAGACAATTTGCCCTCTATCCTCCACTATATCAATAAAATCCTTCAAAATTGTAAGTTTTTACTAGAAAACAGCTGATGATTTTTTAAATAGGTAAATAAATAATTTTTTTCAATTAAACTATTGCCTGTCTCAATTTCTTGAATGAGTAACCTAAACCTAGGGGTTAACCACCTTGGCATTAGGCCTGTTCGCACAGAAATCACCAACCAGTCAGAGCAAATTTCATTGGTTGAAACTAGTTTTCTGACTGTTTCCAACCAATGAGATTCGCTCTGACTGGTTTGTGATTGCTGTGCGAACAGGCCTATTATACATAGTGCACAAACATATGGGATTCCCTAAATTCAAAAATTCCTCATTTTTATTGTCGAATTATATTAATAATAATTACCAAAAATAGTTAATTTTGTCATTTTTTTTTGTGTGTGTGCCAGTATGTGGGTTTAATACATAATTTTGTTCTTGAAGCTGAGTTTTTCAATTAGAACTACATAAAAATAAAATCAAACAGGTTATGGGCCCAGACGTCTCCGCTCTGATTACTTGTTTCATAATCTTAATTTGAGAATGACTGTTTTCAATATTTGTTTGAAACAGTGCAATAAATTGGTTTGACCATGTTGTTTTGTTAAGAGTGTCAGAAAATTTCATTAAGGTGATTTCCAGTTTATGGATTCTTTGAATGATAATTGTTGTGTTTATGTGATAATAGGCCGTGTTATGTTGAGTTGTTACGTAAGTAGTTCCTAAAGAAATTGGTAAAATAGGATTTTCTACCGTCATCAATGTATACGCTTGGGTGACTCCAACTAGAGTTAGGAATACTAATGGATTCATCTCGGAGTACCTGAAATAAATTATTGTCGTTTAACATTTTGTTTAGCAAAGCGATTCTGTGTTTTGCTATCATATCGCGGACTTATCTTGTCTCTATTAAATTGTTTTACAAAGATTGGATCTTGTAATTCTGGTTCAGGTTCACAATTTTTATTACGTGATTCTAAAGACTTTGTTTGTTTCGCTAATAATTTTTCTTGAATTTCTTTATTCAAATTCGCAAGGGATTCTGCCAAACTTGTTATATAGTCAGTTGTTAGTCTATTTTCCGTTTGTTCAATCGGTATGGCATAATTCAAATCTCCTTTAATCACTTGAAAAGGGGTGTGATTCATTGTAGTATGAGTACTGTTGTTATAATTCAATATAGCGATTGTCATTAGATCGTTAATACTTTTATTTGGGTTTTGGAGTTTTAAACTCGTTATACTTTCGCGTAGTGTCGAATGGAAACGTTCGATTGGACTATTCGAGTTCGGGTTTCTTGGAGTTGTGTAATGAAACTCAATTTTGTATATTGTACAAAGATCTGTCATTATAGCATTTTTGAACTCTGCTCCATTATCTGATGTGATTTTTTGAGGTATTCCATGATCACTAAAATATTTCAATAACTGTGATGATATTTCAACAGCTGTTTTTGTATTTACAGGAGAGGCTTGACCAAATTTTGAAAAGCTATCAATAATGGTCAGAAATTTCTGGTTATTGATTATATACGTGTCAATATAAATATGTTCAAAAGGTTTCATACCAATGGGTGTTGGTTTGAATATGATTTTGTATGGTTGACGTTCATACTTGGTTTTATTGCATATCTCGCATACTTTGACATAATTCTGTACGTCTTTCTCGATATTGGGCCAATAGAATCTTTTCTTTAAGGCTGCAATATTTTCAGTGATTCCTCTATGAGAGGTTTTAGTCTCATGATATTGCTGAATTTTCTCTTGTTGAAGATCAACTTTTGTGATGTCTTCTAATAAAGAGTTCGAGATGTACAAAGTAAATGAATTCAAATTAAACGATTCTTGTAATGCTCGTATCACAATAGGTTCTAAAGATTTATTTAGGAAATGAAGGCAATAAATACCAGGTGGCATGTATTCCTTTACTAAATTTGTTATTTGTGATGTTGTTGGATTATTTGGTAAGAAGAATATTATTCTCTTTTTATTACCAAATAGTTTGATTATCTCTTTTCTAATTGTTTTATTATTGGAATATCAAAATACAATTTGATTTCCAAATACATTTACATGTTTCTTAGTATATGGAGCTCCTAATATTGGATTTTCCATAGACGTATGTATTGTTTGGTCATTTTCAGACAAGGCTGAAATTGTTGAAGAACGATTAGTTTGTGTTATTTGTCTATTACTTTTTTGAGTTTTTGAAGATTCTCCGATTTCTATGGGAATTTCTTTTTTCTCTTTTCTTGGAGGTATTATTAGTTGTGATAATATCTTTATTTTGGGTTTTACTTTCTTAGGTTCTTCTTCAGGTTCTTTTTCTGATGTTGTCTTTGTTGATTGAGATGATTCAGACATTGTTATCTCTTTTTCTTTAGCTATCTCGCTTTGTTTAGGAAGATATACTTTAGAATCTGTAAAGTATTTTGCTATGATTTCGTCATTACATAATGGTGTATCTTTCAGCATTAATCCTAATTTTTTATGAAATTCTTCATCTGAAGATGTTAATCTGGCATCTGGATCTGATTTTTGAATGGCATGAAGTTGTATTGCAGGAATTCTTGATAGTGCGTCTGCATTCATGTTTCATGTTCCTTTTTTGTATTTGATCTCATAATCAAATTCAGATAGTTTTAGTCGCCATCTGACTAGTTTAGAACTTGGTTCTTTAACATTAAATAGCCATTGTAGAGGTTTGCGATCTGACAAGATTGTGAATTTTCTACCAAAAAGATAAGGTCGAAAATATTTTGTTGTCCATACGATTGCTAAAAGTTCTTTTTCAATCGTCGAATAATTACATTCAGCTGGGTTTAATGTTCTTGATGCGTATGCAATGGGAAGATCAGGACCTTGAGATAAAAAGGCTCCAATTGCATAGTTTGATGCATCGGTTGTCAATAAGAAAGTTTTCTTAAAGTCAGGATGTTGTAGTATTGGGTCATTTATTAATACATTTTTACAAGTTTCAATTTATTTAGAAATTCTGCATTGTGTATTATTTTTTTGTCTTTTTTCAAACAAGATGTCATTGGTTTGGTCAATTTGGCAAAATTCTTTATGAATTTTCGGTAATAACCTACTAATCCTAAAAATGATTTTATTTCCTTCACCGTCTTTGGTATTGGGAATTTTTTTATTGCCATTATCTTTTTTGGATTCGGTTTTATTCCATTTGGTGTAATTACATGTCCTAAGAATTCGACTGTCTTGTGTAGGAATTCTGATTTGTCTAATTGTATTTTTAAATTAAACTTCTCGAGTCTCTCAAATACTTTCTTTAGATTTTTCACGTGTTCATGAAGTGAAGTGGAAAAAATTATTATATCATCCATGTATACTAGACATATTCTATTCTGTAATCCTAGTAATACATTATCCATCACTCTCTGGAATGTCGCGGGGGCGTTTTTCAAACCAAAGGGCATTCTGTTAAATTCGTAATGACCATTTTCAACATGCTGTTTTGGGTATCGAATTTTCATGCATCTCGACTTGATGAAAGCCGGAGGCTAGATCTAGTGTCGTAAAATAATTACTACGACCAAGTCGGTCTAATATATCCGTAATATTAGGTAATGGATATCTATCATCAATAGTTTTTTGGTTTATCTTTCGATAATCAACGACCATTCTCCATTTTTGTATGCCTGCGGCATCTTCTTTCTTAGGTATTATCCACACTGGGGATGACCAAGGGCTACAGGATGGTCTGATTATGTTATCTTCTAACATTTTCTTTATTTGAGAATTTACTTCTTGTTTATGCACATGTGGGTATCTATACGTTTTTGTGTGCACTGATATTTCATCCGTTGTTTTATGGTGCGATTCTGTATGCGATGTAACGTACTGTAAGGGATGCAACTTTGAGAGCTGTAAGGATGTAAAGAAAAAGGAATTCTGTAACTTACATCGCGCTGTAAAATAGTCTTACACCTACTGTAAGTTAACGTCGCGGGTAATGCAGACATACTGTTACATTTTTGACGGTATGAAACAAAAAAGTTTTTTGTGTTGCACAAAATCGCAAAAAGAAATTTTTCGAGTGAGGTATTAGTTAAATATGGAATTGATACAGATTAGGCATTTCATCATAATCATCATCATTATCATAGGCAATCACTCGAGTATAATTATCTTCTATTCTATTCTTCGTCGATTGTGTATTTCCTGATGGTTATAAAAACACACTTTTCCATATTCTTGGAACACCCAAGGCCTATACAAAAACGCTGATCCGATTACAATGGATTAACGCGATCAAATTTGATTTATAATTTCTTCTCTAGCAAAAGTATTACAAAAGTTATTATTCGTTGCAAAATTAAAATGTCCTTATAAAATAAAGCAAGCTCCCTTGATATAAATAATTACACTTGGCATCAATACACAGTGTATTGCACCATGCCTCTGGCTGGTCAGCCCAGAGACTCCGTGTCTGTGCTCCGTGTCATGCAGAATTCTACATATTATCGACAGGATTCTATAGGCTCATCACATTCAATATATCGAATTCTA